GAGGCCCAAGGAAGACGTTGTAAGGACAGAGAATGTCCCCTCCGGCCAACCCTTTCGTGAACTTCCTCTTCTATTGATCAAAACCTTTGGCCAACCTTCATTTGTTTCAAACCAAAGCCAGGGCTAAAACAGCTTGTAACAAAGGGCAAAGAGAAGCAATAGAGGAAGAAGAATCAGGAAGGGGGAAAAAAAAGACTTGTATTGTCTCTGTCTCCTTTCTTTTCCCTCTTGCACATGGCTTGGAATGTCCCGCAAATGTGCTTGGCGTTTGCCTAGATAACTATGGAAAACAATGTGAGGCCTGGCGGACGCTGATGGATCGTTGATGTACAAGATAAATGCTGAAGAGATGCAGAATTGTAATTACACAGACATTTCCACACAGGCCGTGCGGCCTATTATTTGACAAAGAAAGAGACAACGCTTCTTGCTTCCTTGGGCAGATAAGAAGAGAAGGCCCCGCAGTCATTGGTAAACAGGGAAACATTTCCTTGGACCTCCTACAATGGCCGGCCATCACTGGATTGACCCAGCACCCAAAAATTCCTCTGCCAAGACAATAGACTGGATGTATACTCAGAAAAAATAAGTCAACTTTTTCTACAGGGACTGAATAGCCCACGAAGAGATGGCTATCACCCAAGAGGAGGAGGCAGGCGGAGCAGACAATGGCCGGTCTTCAGCCTAAGAGCCATCCGTCATAGGGGAACAAAAGCCGTTGTCAATCCCACAACGAGCAGGTCCTCCAGGCATGTCATCCATGTCCTCCTTGGGCTGACAACTCACCACTCACCAAGTTTCAACTTGGAACTAAAGGAAGACAGAATTGCCCGGGTGCGATTGAGGTGCCCGTGTTATTTCCTGTTGAATGTAGCTCAGTGTGTTTCTCTCGTAGCTTTCTACAAACGTTCCTAAGACAGGTTTCAGCGAGGTACGCCAGCAACTTTGTGGATAGACATTGTGTGTGTCCCCCAAACCCAGTGAGGTGTGTAAGGACAACCAAGTCCTCACTCTTGTCATTAAGGGACTGGAGTCCAAAACAAGGACAAATAGGCTGAAAATCAGCTTCTATATCCCAGGGCAGTAACTCTTATTGAATTCTACTGTATAGTGCAATATTGGTGCAATATCAGGGGGTTTTCAATCCAATGTATAGAATGTGTGTTTGTGTTTATTTTCATAGTCATAGTGTACACTGAAGATGGTGCTTGATTTCATTGTACGAGGTGCAATGACAATAAAGTAAACGAAACATGAAAAACGGTTGCAGGAATTGGGTATGTCTAGTCTAGTGAAAAGAAGAACTGGGGTGACATGATAGCACTGCTCCAATATTTGAGGGGCTGCCACAACGAAGACTCTCCAAACTGTTCCAAAACATCTGAAGGCAGGACAAGAAGCAATGGATGAAAATTAAATCAAGGAGAGAACCAACCTAGAATTAGGTCGTCCTCAACGTACGACCACAATCAAGCCCAAAATGTTTGCTAATAAGTCAAAAATCCGTTGAGTTTTGCTCCATTTTACAACTTTCCTTGCCACGTTTGTTAAGTGAATCCTTGCAGTTGTTAAATTAGTAACACAATTGTTGAATGAATCTAGTTTCCCTCTTGACTTTGCTTTGCCAGGCTGCAAAAGCGGATCATGTAACCCTGGAACACAATTTGGTCTACTCAGGAGGAGAGGGCCATGATCCTCTTCATGGGTTGCAGGTGTAAGGCCTGCATAAAAGGTTGGATCTGCACGCTAACCGACGCTGGAGACAAATTAGTGTTTTATTCCTAAAGAAGGTTGATCTTGGTTGGCGTTCTTCCAACGGACTGTACCTGGTTATCTTCCTGAAGTTGGCAATTACCTATCCTGGTCTGTCGAGGAACTTTATTCAGTGCGGTTTGTTTTTGGTTTTTGCTTCGTTGTGGGCTCTTTGAATGTGAACTGTGTTTCTTGCCTTTGAAATGTTATTTTGAAAAATAGTTTACTCCTCCACTGTGAACAATTAAACAGTGAAGCCAAGTTGAAGGCATTAAAGGACTTTTATTTACGTTTTGGTTTTTGTTATATTTTTAGAGATACTCTGGGTCATCACAGGAGGTTTTTAAGGAAAGACTGGACAACCTGTTTGTCTGAAATAGGCTCTCCAGAATGAGCTAAAGGACTCCAAGGTTTCTTCCATCTCTTAATTATTCTATTTTCTAGATTCCAGTACAAGAAAGCTTGCGACGCAAGCTTTGGCTGTTTGGGCACATGAGCTTGGCACAATACACTTTTAACTCTTTGGGAGGGAGGGAGGGACGGGCCTCTTGTAAATTCAGTTCCTTCACCCTCCTCTCCAATTTACCATCTTCTTTCTGTCTTCCTCTAGACTCTTTTAAGACTTTCGCGGGTCACGTTTGGTGACTCTGTGCTTATTTTTCTGCTGTCGGGGAAAAATGCCCCAGCACAGAACTGAACCTTTCTCCCATTAATCAAAACTAGCAAGCTTTCTGTAGGGAGACAGAAAATCACTATGTTTTCTCCCTTAGTGCTCAAGCAAGGTCAGTCGGAGGCCGGGGCAGGAGAAAGGGGAGGGGTTGGGTGGGCAGAGACCTGGTCCAGCCACCCCACCCCCCCAGCCTCACCTCTAGTTAGGTTAACATTTTATTCAGAAGCCTATTTATCAAAGTCAAGAACATAGCATAAAGCGGCACCAGAAAAAGGATGGCGGTGGAGAGAGAAACTGTTCATCGGAGCAGACAAGACATATCATTTGGTTTCTCTTCCACCTATTTCTCTGGCTTAATTTTGTCCCACAAACCCACAACCAAACAAAGCTGAATACCATACATATAAATACCCGCAAAAACTTAAGAAAACACACACACACGCACATATATATATATCCCTCAGAAAACATATATATACACACAGACAGACACAGACACCGACACACACACAGAGGATATATTTTATTGTCTTTTTCCCCAAGAAAATTCCACCCTTTCGGCAGAATGGTTTTTTTTTTTTTTTTTTGCACAAGATCGATGTTGGCAGATTCTATAACAGTGTCGTCGTCTCAGAAATAAAATCTCTTTTCTTCTCTGGCTGTGATAGAGAGAAAGAAGTTAGCATTTTGTCCTGCCGAGGAAGGCACCAATTGGCTAAATGTAACCTAAGAATAAAAGTGTGGAAAAGAAAGTGTAAATGGGGTTTGAGTGCCCCCTTCTGGGGACGGAGGAAATACTTTTCTGGAACTGAGATTTCAAATATATATATATATATATATATATAT